GTTGAACGTCGTTAGAAAAGAATCCAAAGCGCCAATCAATTTTGTACAACCAATGCCACGTAATAATTACGATTGTGGCAAAATTTTATTGGATTTCTCCCAAGAAGAAAGCCCAGGCCGAAAGCAATAAATGCTTCGATCTCGCCGTTCCTTCTTAGACTTCTTAGAGTTCTTAGAGTCATAGTCTCGCTACTATATCGTTTCGTAAAACCGCCGTGCTAACCGCTTAGTGAAAACCGCTATAAGACAGATCTTTTCGAGAAGTGCCGAGAAAATCGCCGAGATTTTCCATCACCGCGATTCCAAATACAATTTGGAAAGGGTGACCGCATTTAATATTCTGTTAATCTAATATTTAATTAATTATATTTTCTGAATTTGTAACTGTGCATATTAAAGAAAATTCTTTTGTTAAATTACAAAGAAACGGAGTTCTCTTTACTGTCGTGTATCATACCAACCGTGTGCCGTTCTCTCACTCGAATCTTTCCGCGCGGTGCATTCCCGCACAATATATATATATATGTATATACTAATAATGATCACAGAATGATTAGAATTTATACGAATAAGTAATTTGTCAAACTTATAATTATGTTTTTGATTCGAACTTTTTGGTTTAAATTATCTTTTGTAATTTAAAACTAAATATAATTTGAATTAAATAATCATAAAAAATAAATTTACATTCTAATTATTAAAATTATATTTAAAATCAGTATAACTCATTAATCGTTTCATTAATTGTTTTCATTTTCAACATTGACATTAAATATCTTGTAGTATCTTCATCCAAGTGTAAAATTTTATTTTTATCTACAGAAAAATTTCTTCATTCTCAGCAGTTGGTATCTTTTTTCTTAACAATGGTGACCATCCAATCTGCATTGTTTAATATCCTACCAATTGTTGAAAAATAAGTTTTGTTTGCCATTCATACCTGCTGGGGATCTATTTTCCACAATTCATTGGTCAGCACTTCTGTAATTTACGAATTAAAATTAAATATTATATAATTACATATAAATAATACATAAATATGTAGTAAAAATGAGTATATCTGGAGACTGGCAGCAGGATAATGCTGTCCGTGGCACTCACCCAGTACCATCATATCGTAATATTCTTCATTTGTGTAGGCCATATTATCGTCCTGGTAGAGAATGACACATGGAAGATCTTCCTCGCTTCTGGAAATCTCTTGCTTCTATGAATTTCTTGCCTTTGAGAATCTTTCGCTTCAAGCGATCGAGAGATTATTGATCGACGTATCGATCGTTTCGTATTTATACGATCTTTGCTGGAGGTCGATGCTCCCTCCGCGACTCCTACCGCGAATCGCAATGCTACGCGAGACCGCGCACGTGTTCCGAAACGTACAAAGAAATTTATTGAGACGTATGAGAGCCTGTGTTAGAATGGATGGTGGACATTTCGAGCACCTCTTATAAAATTACTTTATTCATCACAATCAATCCGTTCTTTTTAGAGTGATAGACAGCAATCCGCCCTTTTAAGGGCGATCAATACTTTCTTGGAAATCTCTCTTATGTAAAAAAGATCAAGAGATGGAGAGAACGTACAAGAAATATTATATAATAACTTATTTTGTAAAAGATTTAATAATTATTCACGACGGACGCAACATTATCGTACAGCATTACGTTTCATGTAATACTACTTAAGAAGCATTACTTTGTTTGGAAGAAAAATCAATTATACAACATAACATGAAATATTCTGATATTAATTTTTTGATATTGATCGATGTCGATTTGATGCTTTCGATATCGAACGATATCGAACCGATATCGATTCGATTCTGACTGAGACGTTCGTGTTTTGACAGCGCTAGTACAAACATAACCAATAAAATCAACTGCTTGCTATCGTTGAATGAACGCATCGTGTATTAGTAAACAATCGTGTGCTTCTTTCTTCGAGTATTCAGTCGACGAATAATTAATCGGCAGTAATTTATAATAATTAACTAACAGATTCTCTATTAAAATCGAGTGCATGCTATCGTCGAATAAACGCGGCGTGTGATTATCTTTCTTCGAGTGATTTTCGATCACCGAATGATTAATTGATAATAGTTAAAATGGACCATCGGTAGTAAAACGGACACTTAATTGATAGAGATACAGTAATAAAAGTAAATTTTTTGAGTAATCATTGAAATACTTCGTTTTTTTCAAGTTAATGAATATCTGTACGATGAGCATAAACGTATCGAAGTGATGCGTTTTATAAGAAACAAAGTATTTTAATGGTTACTCGATCTGCGTGCATCAATGGGAACGAGTGATTTCTAAACTTGTTAGAGGAATGGAAGTTTAACTGACAAAAGTTTAGAGCTGTATGTGATCCATCAATGATCGATGGAAGTTTTTCTTGTTTCTCAAGCTGCAGCATGTCGAAGTCATCAAACTTTTTCAAGGTAATTTTGTGTGTGTGTGTGTGTGTGTGTGTGTGCGTGCGCGCGCGCGCGCGTGTGTGTGTGTGTGAGAATGCAATCGCATATGCATGCGTGTGTAGCAATCGTCTGATCGTAACGAGGGTCCCCCGTACGATCTGCGTCGGACAGTGAGAAACACCGTTCCTGGCTACCTTCTCTACGCGCCCTGTCATTCGCTAATTATTTCTTATTATAATTTAAAAACTACGCTTTTGACAAAATTTTTTTTTGGCAAAGGAAAAATCGTCTTAGAATTAAGTCAAGAATATGACATTTCAAGGATAATATATTCATTTTGAATCACCCTGTATAGCTGTATAGTTTCAAACATAAATAATTAAAAAAAAATATTACTAAACATATTATTGTAGATACTGACACTGTCATGTTCATTAAGCATATAGCTCCGATTGGCAGAACCTGATTATTTGTGGCAAAGTATCGACTTTCCTCTCGAGAAGGATTAGGCACGTCAAAAAATTCAATATTTTTGACGTGTTGGCACATATTAGTAAATATTAAAAATTGACATTAATTCTCTAATGTTTAAGATTTTATAGAAAAAAAATATTAGCATCAAGAAAGCTAGAAAAATTTTCAATTTAAAAAAAATTAAATTAATTTGCGTTATCTGATGTCGTCGAAGTAAGATGTTCATTATTCTTGCAAATTTGCTTCAATTTTAATTAAGAAACCAATGTATTCTATCACGATTTGGATTTCTATCTTCCTGCATTTTTATTCTCTCTTTTTTATTAACGAACTCTCAACATATCTGATATAACTTATAAGAATATTACTTTCTTACTACTTTGATTTCCGATTTAACTGACTCGCAGTACTACACAAAGTGAAAAATACGTAAAAGTGTATTTTATACACTTATAACGAGTTTTGTAATATTATATATGTATACCGTAACAATGAGAATGACTCGATCGGAATCGAAACATATTATTTTATTCTTTGTAATTATTATATTATTTTCATGATTTAAATTAAAGTTCTTTGCTACATTACTGGCTCTTTGCCCTTCCTTTGCTTATATTGTTTAATAAATTAAAATTTAAAAAAATAACTAAATTAAGTTAAAAATTAATACATTTAAAATTAATTAAGTTAAGTTAAAAATTATTAACTTTTTTTTAACTTTTTTTTAATTAGTTACTAACTCCAACCCCGCCAATCACTATGGTAAAAGTTATATGGTACCTGGCAGATATGAGATGGCAACTTGAACGTCAGCGATCCTGGGCTGAGTACGAGTTCATCTAGAGGTACGATGCCGCGGAAAAAATCACGGCAGGTGATCAAGCGACCTTTGAAATCGATTCAAGAAAAATTAAACGCTATTATGAGAGTTCATAATGGCGAATCTAAAGCTGCTGTGGCATGCGACATCGGTGTACCAGAGTTCACTCTCAGAGGATGGTGCAAGGCGGAAGACAAAATAATGTCGCAAGTCAACAACAAATCAAAGTCAACAAATAAAAGCTTCGACAATATACTGTCAGGAATAGATTTAACAAGTATACTGTACGCAGTAGCGATATCCCTTTGCAATTCGCATTTTTCCTCATCTCTCTTTTACAAAGGTACAATTATATTTTTCTCCCAATCTTGGGAATCTGCCTTCTATCTTTCTTAACAAAGGATCCTTCTTTTCTCAACAAGGTCATCGATATCGATGATAATCCTTTTCCTGCATACATTCAGACCTTCATCGGGATCTCATTATTTCCCGCTACTTTCATTCGCTTCATTTTTCAATATCTGTCTTTCCTCTCCCTTTAATTCTTCACCGTCTGTCTCTGACCGTGACTTTTGCTCTTCACTTCCCATCTCGAATAAAAGATGAGAACAAAAACGATATTTTTGACTTCGGATAAAAGAATCAAGTAAAAAAACTAGTTTTAAATAATGGTATTTTTGACCAAATTAAATAAAATTTATGAAAAAATATATAATTATTTGAACGACAGATATTTTATATTTATATTTAAAAGCTAAATGAGTGATATTATTAATACAGATAATATTTTATTAGCATAATAAACTGTTTTGTTACATATTGATTATAATTGTATTCTATATTTTAATTCCTTTGTATTCCATATTTTAATTATTTTGAGGCAACATCCCAATATAATATTGATTCAAGAGTAATTAGAGATTTGATGAATGTTGCCTCACTAATTTAAATTTAGAACATATAATTACAATCACTGTATACAACAAAAACGGTGTCAATAGTCTAGTAAAGTATTATTTATATTATTTATATTAATAACAGCACGAACACTTACTTATCTTTTAAAATTGAAGTACAGTATAAAATCATTCAAATAATAGTGAAAGATAAGATATATATTTACAGTCACCGATATTGTACTACAGGGCTTGGTAAAATTTGCACTTCTCGGTCAATTTTCGAGAGCCTCCCGCCTCCCGTTATTCCTCTCACTGCTCACCCCATATGTAGTCCAAATGCCGCTCGACGTTTAGGAGCTAACGTTCAAAGACATGAGGTGCACGGGACGTTTTTGGGGCACTCACGTTGTAAACTTCATTCTATCTTTTTTTCGCTCATTATTTAATTAACACAGAATGAAGCAACGAGTAAGCGCTCAAAACAAATACATCCAATAAATTTTCAATAGTTTTCCACGTCACCCTTGAGGTACTATTTTTGACGCGTTTTTTTTAAGTGGTATCCCCAATAGGCCTAGTCCACTGATAAAAATGATGATTTCTACAGCCAAGTAAGCGAGCCACATAAAACGAGGTAAAAAAATCATTCCTCAAGGAACGTCTCTCAGAGAAGAGAATATTGATAGCGAATGTTGATAGCGATACTACTAAGGAAGAACGTCCATCATTCTACCTTATGTTTCATCGATGTCCGAGAAATTTTTTATTATTATGAAGAACATTAAGAAGAGATTGACAGCAATCGAATTTTTTATCTTAATAATATATAACTTAAGATTAACGCACGATAATTTGATTAAAAATATTTTTAAAAATATAATAAGGATTACTTTTCTAAAGATTACAAAATACAAACAAACTTTATGGGTTTTTATATTTATTTATATTTTTTTTTACTTTTTTTACATTTGGGTTTTGTATGTATAAAGATAAAACTAATTTTTACAAACTAATAAGATAAGATTAATTTTTACAAAAATTAAAAGATCAGAACTAAAATATGTACACTAATCATAATCAATTATCATTAAAATACAAGAAATTTTTTTTGTTATTTTGTCGTAATTTCAATTATTAAATGATAAAAATACTTAATAATATAAAAGAGGATCGTAAAAAATATATGCTGCGCGACAAGAAACGCTGTTACAATAAATCTTTTTCTACTTTCCGTAGAAATTTGTATCTACAAGTATCAAACGAAGTACGCTGCCGTATCTGGAATTATATATATGGCATGGATGTGTACAATTCATCAGTGATAACATCGTGTATCAGCCACTAGCCAAAGCTTTCATCATTATGGTAAGTAAACAAATCTGGACAGGAATGATTTGAGATTTTTTTGTTTGTATATTTCCTTTTTCAATGACATCGTCGCGCAATTCAAATAATTTTTTTATTAAACAATTAATAAATGATGATATTATTGGGAGTACAAATTAGTTCGGTCCGTTTTTTTGTGTTCAAATGCATTTATTTCAAAACAAAATGAATGAATAGATTAATTAAAGTATTGTCCATCGCTGGCTACTACTTTTTCCCATCTCTCAGGCAATTTTTGAATTCCATCTCGAAAAAATGACTCGTCTTTGGAGGCGATCCAATTTTGGAGTCAATTTTCGATTTCTGCGAAAGAAGTGAACCGGTGACTTGCCAAATCGTGCTGCATCCTTCGGAACAACCAGTAATCAGAAGGAGCAATGTCCGGAGAATACGGCGGGTGCGGTAAAACATCCCATTTGAGCGTTTCCAAATATTTTTTTATGACTTTGACATGAGGCCGAACGTTATCATGAAGAAAAATACCTTTATCATGTCTTTGCTCGTATTCCGGCCATTTTTCTCGCAATGCACGGCTCAAACGAATCAATTGTAGCCGATACCGATCGCCCGTGGAATCGTCGAATGGAATCGCAGGTTTCAGCATGTCATAGTAAACAACACCCTTTTGGTCCCACCAGATACAGAGTATGATCTTCGAATCATGAATGTTCGGCTTTGGTGTTGATGTTGAGATCGATGGCAACGATTGACCGAACTTAGCGTAGTATTTTTTCTTCTTGAAGTTGTCGTAGAATATCCACTTCTCATCTCCAGTCACAATCCGATACAAAAAATCTTTTCTTTGTTGTCTTTGAATTAGCTGTTCGCAAGTGAAAAATCGCCTTTCAACGTCTCTCTGTTTCAGTTCATAAGGCACCCATTTCCTTGTTTTTGAATTATTCTCATGACTCTCAATCGTGCAGAAACGACTTGTTGAGTTACTCCCAATGATTCTGCAAGCTCCTCTTGCGTTTGACTCTGATCTTCTTCGAGTAATGCCTCTAATTCTTTGTCTTCGAATTTTATTGGCTGTCCAGAGCGAGGCTTGTCTTCAACGCTGAAATCTCCATCCTTGAAACGTCGAAACTATTCCCTACATGATTTATCAATTGGAGCAGTGTCACCATGAACTTCGACAAGCATTCGATGGGCTTCAGCTGCACTTTGCTTCCAATTAAAGCAGAACATTAGAACCTCCCGCAAATGCTGCTTGGTTAACACAAAATTCGACATTTCAAACACAGTAAAAATCAAGGTTTTTGTATGAAACTCAAAGCGATATAAACTGATTATTAGCAGATGTCTAACCTCTCTGAAAACGCCAAAATCAGCTGTCACTATGAACCATTCACAACAGCCGGAGCCATCTTTTGGAAAACGGACCGAACTAATTTGTACTCCCAATAATTTGAAATATTATAAATATTTGATAATTCTTATTCAGAAATAATAAATTCAACATAAACCTAAATGTAACATTATTTTAAGAGATAGAAAAAAATAGGAAAAAAAAGGACTTTCATGAACATCGCGTTCGCTATGCGATTTTCAAACATATTTTCAAAAACACAAAAAAAATGAAAGTACTAAAAATTTAAACATAGTCTCGGTCCACAACCTTGCTTTAAGAGGTCTTAAGGTATAAGTTGAAAGAGATTAAGTGACAATAATTTCTGTCTTTAAACTGTTTTTGCGCAGTCTTTAGGCTTTAACGTTTAAGACTTAAGCGAATTGAACAAAATTCTTATGGCCTAAGAGCATAAGTTCTGTGGGCATAAGACTGATATATCGTTATAGCCTTTCAAAGCAAGATTGTGGACAAGGCAATAATGAAAAACTTAAAATTAATTACAATGTAATCTAACCTAGATGATAATTACTAAACACTTTGGTGAAACGGTTTCACTTATATGTTCAATTAATATACATATAAAATCAAAAATTTGATAGCTATTACTAAATAGTTTAATCAAGATTTGGAAATTGATCATAAAGCTAGATTGCTAGCTTGATTATTACTAAATCGTATGATAAATATAACCAAACGAAATGAAGTACAGCTAAATTGCACAGTAATAAATATTCAATAGTATGCAAATATTACTAAATTAATCTATTATAAAAAATTCGAATATTTATTTGATTTAATGAATGTTATCAAGTCGTTTGATCATAATTACTGTATGATTTAACAACAATTATTAAAGTTATATTGTTAACAATTTGGTAACTAAACTCAGAAAAAGACTGTTGGCAATTATATAGATGACATTATTTCATTTGTTTTCTATATAATTATATCTGAGCTTCGATCATATAGACTTGATTATACAGAAAGCTCGACTAAATTTTATACGCTAGAAACGACCGGCAGTCCTGACTATGTTTAGGCGCTTAGTTGCACCAAATAATCTAATAATTATTATAAAATTAATCAGTAAATCTTTTTTCATTTTGACAATAATTACATATTTACAAATAATTACAGATAATTAAATATTCATTAATATTAATAATGAATAATTTGGTTTTAAGTATCAAATTGGAACAACTAAACGATAATTTTACTTTTCTAAATACATAGTAATAATTATTATCAATCAGTTTATTATTATTATGTTTGGTAATACTAAATATTGCGCCAATCAACAAAATTTAATAACTA